ATTTGCAACACTATCCAAGAATTATGCGCAGATACGGACCTTTAAAAGGCATGACATGTATACAATTTGAAGCTAAGCATATGCAAATAAAAGAAAACAGCAAGATATGTAAGACACGAGTAAATCCTTCGTTTACACTAGCTGTAAAACATCAACTGCAACTATGCTACAGATTTCTTTGCAATCATGGTATTACAGATGATATTTCTGTTGGAATTGTTATTTCGAAATTATATTTAATAAGTAATTATGGCTACTTACGGAATCTTTTGGCTCATGACAGTTTTAAAGATTACGATTGTATAACGTGGACAATAATAAATGGAACTAAATATAATTCAAATTCTATAATATGTTTAAGTAATGAAAATGAATCTGTGTTTGCCAAAGTTAAGTATGTTATTACAAGTCCGTCGAGGGATATTTTCTTTTTAAATACTACAATGACTACAGTCTGTTATAATCGACATCTTTGTGCGTTTCAAGTAAATGAAACGCAGAAATGGGGTTTTGTTTCTCAAAAAGATCTCACAGATTGTACTGTTTACTATGTTAAAATTATGCCGGATGAGCAACATTATATTCCTGTATACTTCGAAGTTGTACATTTCTCATTGGGATTAACGTGTTATGTTTATACAGAGCGCTTCTCTAAAAATGATGTATCTATTAATATATAGCAAGTTTAAATAAATCTATATTGTTAATAACAAAAAGTATTGTATTAATTTGCAATTTAATGGTTATATCTCATTAAATATTTTTATTTCACAAATACTTTACAACATGAGCAAGTTTATTTGCAGCGTAAAGAACATACTGCTTCTACACTGAAAATATTTATTTCACAGCCGAGGCCCGTTCCACGCGCTTAAATAAATATTTAATTCGTCCCGAGCGAATATCTGCGCTGATACTAGCAAATATTTCTTCCCTTAGAGCAAATATTTATATGGCGTAATAAAATATTTATTTCACAGCCGAGGCCCGTTCCACGAGCTTAAATAAATATTTAATTCGTCCCAAGCGAATATCTGCGTTGGTACTAGCAAATATTTACTTATTTCTTGAAAATGCTTACTTCATTTAGGTAAATACAGCATCTTGATACTAATGAATATGTTCCAAGGAGCCCTCAAGAAAATAATTTTCTTGGGGCAAGTAATATTTTTTTTTTTCGAGTAAATTTTTTTCACAGTGTAGAAAACGTGATGAAACTTACGCTTACGGAAGAAAAACCATTTTCGTGCTCACCACGTAGACTTTCGTGCGACGAAAAAACAAATTAAGTAATATCATAGACGATTTAAGTTCAAAGGGCATTATTAGAGAAAGCACGTCGGAGTACGCGTCGCCGATCGTTCTGACTAAGAAAAAAAACGGAGAGATAAGAATGTGCGTGGATTTTCGGACATTGAATAAAATTACAGCACGTGATAATTTTCCTCTTCCGTTAATTGAAGCCCAATTAGATTTACTAACCGGGAAAAAATATTTTACTCTTTTAGATTTGAGAAATGGATTTTTTCATATTAAAATGCACGAAGATTCGATAAAGTATACCTCATTCGTCACACCGATGGGGCAATTCGAGTATGTAAAAATGCCCTTCGGTCTGAAAGGAGCCCTTCTTAGATTTCAGCGTTACGTTACGCAAATATTTAAAGATCTAATTAAAGCAGGAGAAATTTCAGTATATCTTGATGATTTTCTCATCGCCACCGAAAAGATTGAGTATCATTTTCATGTATTGAAAAAAGTTTTTAAGTTACTTGTCGTGAATTGTTTAGAATTAAGGTTAGACAAATGCAAATTCTTTCAAACAAAATTAGATTATTTAGGTTATACGGTAACAAGCGAAGTCATACGGCCGACGAATCAAGGTCTAGAAGTAGTTTCGAAATTTCCTGTTCGCCGAAGCGTACGCGACGTACAAAGTTTTATCAGGAGACGCGGTAGCGTCTCCGGCCATGTTCAAAAACTGAGAGACGCTACAAGTCTCTTATTCCGAGCCACCAAAGTCCATTTTTGAGAGGTGCATAACTTTTTTTTTTCCCCGCAGGAGGGGAAAATCTTTACTGTGCACTCTCCGATCCAATGCCCCGGGTTCGGCCCGGGTTAGGGGATTCGTCACCGGGTACGCCGTCACGGAGAGGGAAGACACCCAGGGCCCGAGTTCACCTGGGTGTGCTGGATTCGCACGACCAGGGACGCGACACCGTCCCCGCCGGAGGGGGCGCGGACGCGACGGACGGCAGTGCTTGCCCAGATTCCTGGGAATACCCCACCGCCGGGATTTGCCCAGGTGACTGGGAATATCTCCCCTTAACCCGTCGCACCCCCGACCCCCCCGACAACGAAGCAGCGCCTGCGTCTACCGGCAATGCGCCTACCAGCTAAAAACCCCCCCTATAGCGATACCCACCGTGGGTATCATTGGGAGACCGGTCCGGTATCGCCTATTCAGCATTCTTCAGAACGGCCTCCCACCCTTCGAGTAAATACTCCCTTCCTGTTCTCGGGTACTAGCCCTGGGTTCATCGGAGAACCAACTACCTATTTTTATTTGTTCTTATTTATATTCATCTATCTACCTATCCATATTCAACTTTGAATGCATCTGTTTTTAATCTCTCCCTCTACTTCCACTTCCAGGTCTTCTATCAAATCTACTCCTGGCCCTTCTGAGGGCCTCCTCCTCCCTCTCTCTAGTCTCCTTGGCTCCAATTACCGTTTCACAAAATTTAGAAAATGCTTTCCAACCATCTATAGACTCCATAGCTCTTCCAAATATATTTCCCAGAGTAATCCCGCCTTCCACCGACTCACCGAGCAACCGTCTCTGTTCCTCCCATTGCGGACACTCCTCCAATGTATGGATCGCGTCATCTTCGTCTCTCCCATCGCAAAACCCGCACGCGGGAGAGGAAAGCTTCCCTATCTCCCATAAATATACAGCGAATGAACCATGGCCCGTTAGGATTTGAGTAATTTTATAAGTAACCTCGCAACCCACTCTAGACACCCAGTCCTTCAGTACCGGCGCGAAAGCTCCTACCACCCTGTACCCAGGCGCGTGCTCTTCAATCTCCATCAACCTCGCTCTCCATCTTTCCAGCGCCACCTCGTGTCGAAACTTCTTAACACCCCTTCTAATTTCGTCGGGTATTCTCCCCCCCTATCCTGGGAGCTGTTCGTAGTGATGTATACACCCCGTGATATTCGTCTGTTTAGGCCTGCAACTCACTCTCATTTTCGTGACTGAACCGGCAAAGTTAAGATAACTCAACGAGACTATTAAATATCGAAAGTATATCATATTTGAATAACATAAACGAAAGTTCGCTAAAATTCGCGTTGCGGAACATAACAAAATGGCGCCTGAAAGGCGCGTCGCGATTGATTTACGTTTCATTTTTTTTCATATCGATAATACAATGAAAATGAACAAGTCAGTAGTGAATTTTATTCAGAAAATTGTGCTCTTTAAGGTGATATTTTTATACTTCCGTAATATGAAGTCTGAGATGCAAAATTTCGCCGAAATAAATTTTTTTCTAAAAATTTTGCGAGTTTTGTGTGCTATATTGCAATATAACTTTGTTGTGTTACATTTTCGTAAAAAAATGTTCAAACAAAAGTTGTAGAGCACACTTTTTTACATAAGAATACATACGTGCAATATTTCCAAAACCATTGAATCGCTGCAAAAATCATTACACATGAAAAAATGTTGGTGCGTCGGCAATACCATGCGCAAATGTCGAGAGCCATGCAGCCCGACAATGATTTCCGTCAACATTATTGCGATTAATATTCAAGAACGATGAGAAATAATGACACGGATTACTGACATTTTTTATTATTCGGAATATTTGTGCACAATTTCTGTACGGTTTAGTTATATTTTAGTTAGATACGATTTTGTTGTTTAATAACTATTCTTAAACTTCTTAAATAATTAAACCGTATAGATATTAGTCACACACATTTTTAATAATAAGACAATAATTTTTTTCAGCCAGAGCTCGGTTAGCTTCAATTAAAAAATTTACTAACGCACTTTACCGCGGGAAGGTCTCGAGTTGGGCTTTTAAAGTGCATTTTTTTTTGTATTTTTAATTTTTTTTGTATTTTTAAGTTTTTTTCGTCAAATATTGATCTAGCTTTGTACTAAAACGAAAACTATTTTTCTTGCGATAAACGAAGCCGCCTACATGGAGAAAACAATTGAACGATTTTCTTACAGGACAGATAATACGCTCTTATAATCCAAAAAATACAGGCACTCGTCGGAATTCGGTATGCCTCATGCTTTTTCCTATGTGATAAATAATCAGCCGAATCAGCCCATATAATTTTGATAAAAAATTCAGAGTACTGAAAAATGTTCTCTTGTACAAATCTCTCCTATTTGATCAATAAAAAGGATTAAACAATATTTTTTATCGGCGAAACTGCTTTTATTTTAATATATTAAAAACATTATTTAAAATTAGGAACAAAAATTAATGTTTTTTCATTCAAAAGTTTTTAATAATTTTATTCAAATTAGTTAGTATATATAGTTTATGAATCGCTGTTAAAAGCAAGAAAATCTTATGTAACGAAAATAGATAGAAACGATGCACAAACAAATAGTAAGAAAAGTGCAGTAATCCATTTTTCCATGTATAATGATTTTTGCAGTGATGATGGTTTTGGAAATATTGCACGTATGTATTCTTATGTAAAAAAATGTGCTCTACAACTTTTGTTTGAACATTTTTTTACGAAAATGTAACACAACAAAGTTATATTGTAATATAACACACAAAACTCGCAAAATTTTTAGAAAAAAATTTATTTCGGCGAAATTTTGCATCTCAGACTTCATATTACGGAAGTATAAAAATATCACCTTAAAGAGCACAATTTTCTGAATAAAATTCACTACTGACTTGTTCATTTTCATTGTATTATCGATATGAAAAAAAATGAAACGTAAATCAATCGCGACGCGCCTTTCAGGCGCCATTTTGTTATGTTCCGCAACGCGAATTTTAGCGAACTTTCGTTTATGTTATTCAAATATGATATACTTTCGATATTTAATAGTCTCGTTAAGTTATCTTAACCTTGCCGGTTACTCTCTTTTTAGAAGGCTTTTGACGGATGAGTTGCAGGCCTAGTTCTTATGTCGAATGGAATGATGCCAGCTATCACTGCCGCTGCGTTATGCGATACCGTTCTATAACCTGATATAACTCTTGACGCCACTCTTCTAAAAATCTTCGCCGCTCTTTCTCTAATTTGTCTGTTCGTGCCAACCGCATCTGCCCAGAGTGGGGCCCCGTACATTATTTTCGATATTACCACGTTCGCGTAAAGCAGTCTTCTCTTTTGTCTAGGTCCCCTCATGTTACCCATTAGTCTGGCCAAAGCCGTCGCCACGTTTTCCGCTTTACCTAATATCTTACCAAAGTGTCCGCGGAAGGACCACCACGAATCCAGGTGAAAACCAAGGTATTTCATGGTGGTCCCCACGCGGATCCCCACGCGGATCACCTCGCTCCACACTCTCATCTCATCCTCCTGATGCATTCCCTCACCGAGGAACATGGCCTCCGTCTTGGCCAACGCCACCTTCAAACCGAGCCTCTCTATACCATGGATTACCATGGCCACTCCGTACTCCGCTGCTCTTATAGTCTCCTGTACACTGCTTCCAGATGCCACCACCAGAGTATCGTCCGCGTAGCAGATCGTTCTACACCCAAAGGGGAGTCTTCCTTCAAGTATTTCGTTGTATCTCACGTTCGACAGGGTGGGGCCCAGTACTGAGCCCTGTGGCACTCCGCATCTCATACTCGTCCTGATTACCTCTCCTTCCCTGTTCTGGTATACCAATTCTCTGTCCTCTAGATAACTATCGATCATCGCGCACAAGTACTCCGGGATATTCTTCTTTCTTAGTGCCTTTCTAATGATGCCCCAGGGAATGGAGTTGAAAGCGTTGGTGATATCGAGCGAAACCACCAACACCAGTCTGCCGTTCTCGACCTCATCTCGTGTCCACTCCCTGAGGCACCACACCGCGTCGATCGTGGATCTTCCCGGTCTGAAACCATATTGTTCCCCCGACAGCCTATTCTCTTTTTCAAGCAATTCCTGTAATCTGTTATTTATCACCCTTTCCATCAACTTCGCCATCTCATTCAATAGGCATATCGGTCTGAAATTTGATGGGAATTCTCCCGTTTTATTAGGTTTTTTGAGGAGCACCAGCCTCGCTGATTTCCATTCCCTAGGAAAGTATTTCCGTCTTATGCATTCGTTAAAAAGCCTCCCAAGTCTGTTGCGGAGGGCCATCGCTACCAATCTCAGCAGAAAACCCGGTATCCCGTCCGATCCAGGGGCTTTCCTTCTCGATATTCCCTTAATCGCCATCACTAGTTCTTATACGGATATCGGCACAACGTCGCTCTCGTCCTCGACTGTATTCTCCGCTACGGTATATAGTATTTCCGTGCTGGGAAAGAGATGTTCTACTACTTTTTTGATTTTTTCGCTTTCCAGACTCTCCAGTACCGCGGGCTCTCTCACCCTCATTTTCTTCATGACCACTTTATATGGCCTTCCCCATGGGTCTAAATGAGAGGTGCATAACTACAAAAATATAAAAAATTTTGAATCAAACGTTATATGTCCTGAAAGGTGGCATCACCACGAGTAATTTGAGCCAAAAAATTTTAAATCGCTCAAGACATTCTGGATATATAAGCGGTCAAAGAGTGGTGATTTTAATGAAAAATTAAGAAACGTCTCCTTCTTCTCCTTCTCCTTCTTCTCTGTCCACATTCAAAATTTTTTAAGCCACCATTTAAACTTTTCAACATCCTCTCTCACCTTTCACTCGCAGCAACACCATCTTCGGTCCACCGGACCTCCTTCACCCGCCCCTCCCCCTACCCCACCACCAACCCCATCGCCCCTCTCTTTCGCCGTAATTCACACTTTCTCGTTATTACAACTTTTTAACTTCCTCTCTCACCTTCCACTCGCATCTCCACCATCTTCGGCCCACCGGACCTCCTCCACCCGCCTCTCCCTTTCCCCCCACCAACCATCTCCGCGGGCCTTCCCTTTCGCCGCATTTCACTCTTTTTCGTTTTACAACTTTTTAACATCCTCTCTCACCTTTTTTTTTTAACGTGAGGAAATGCATTACGCATACCCCCGCATCCCCGAGGAGGGGTGAGGGGTTATGTAGGACTCTCTCCCCCGACCTAATGATCGGGGGCCTACCCACTAAAACTTCACGGGTGTCATACCACGGGCGCTAGTCGGAGACGGGGGGAGGAACAAGACACGGTACTCTTCCCCCCGCCTAGGCGCCAAATCGCTTTCGCGATACTCGATCTTCTAACTTGTGGCGAGAGGGGACACCGGTTCCTCTCACCACCCACTTCCCAACTCGCGTTTGTAGGGACGGGAAGTCTCCCGCTTCCCGCCCTCGCGAGGTGTGAAGTCCAGGTGGGACGCTGGCCCCGGTCCCCGATCAAAAGATCGGTTCCACGGGACCGGCGCCCCACCCGTCTATCCATCTTGTTTCAGTCGAGAGGACCCAAGGGTCCGTAAGTAACTTCAGATTTAATGTTGGACTCATTGACAAGTCCTGTCTGTTCGTTTCCTCCTTCTACGACTGGAGGCTATAGTGACGTCGTCAGTCTCACTGTCTGTGTCACTTCGTTCGTCCTGGTTGGAATTGACAGGAGGTGCTAGGTTTCTCTCTCTCTCTCTCTCTCTCTCTCTCTCTCTCTCTCTCTCTCTCTCTCTC